CATACACCCCGAGTGTGTCTATGTACGCAACAACGCCTAATGTGTCCACAGACGCTTGTGGCAAGAATGCGAGAGCGGTACTTTGCATAGGCCCCAGATCTTGGCCGTCTGAAAGCGGGTTGACTTGGCCATCCGAGGTCGTGGGCGCGAAACTCCACGATCCAGCGAGCCGCCTGGGGCGCGTGCGTGCCGAGCCCGCGCCGCGCGCGTGCCCCGCCGAGCCCGTGGGACTGGGCCGCCGCACGCGGCGCCCCCTCGGCACCGCCGGGCGCCCAGAGTCTGCATGTGAGCCCCACGTGCAGGCCCCAAAAGGGTCAGCCAGGCTCCCATGAGTCGGCGGTGGACAAACCTCCCTTTAGTAAACCTCCCCTTAGTGAAAACAGCCTGGGACCGAAAGCCACGGACCTGGACCCGCAAAAACGACGGCCTCGACGCCCTCTCGCGAACCGAAAACGGCCAATTCCTTAATCGACGTGTCAGGGTAGAAGGTCTGTCCATCCCTGAATGAGGCTCCCACCAGGCTCTGATCAGGCTCCGAATCCGGTCAGGCTCTGGTCGGGCTCCGGTCAGGCCGCGAGAGGACTCTGGTTTGGCTCCGGTCAGGCTCTGGTCAGGCTGAAGCCAGGCTCCGGTTAGGCTCAGGTTGGGCTCTGGTTAGGCTCCGATTAGGCTCCGATTGAAGAACTGTTTTGAAAATTAGCCTGGCGAAAGAACCAACCATGTGCAGTTTTGAATACCGCAGTTGTAGATATCGTCTTCGGTGGTGCCCTCTTATAGGGCCACGAAGCGCTATAAAGGGCGGAGGAGACGCACGCGAGCTGCGACACTGGGACCTTCGGTGGAACCCCGCTATAAGGCCACGAAACACTGTGCTGGGTCAAAAAACACACGCGGGCTGCGCCCCTGGGACCATCGGTGGAGCTCCTTCCGGGGCCACGAATCGCTGTACTGGGTGGTGGGGACGCATGCGGGCTGCGCCACTGGAACCTTCGGTGGAGCTCCTTATGGGGCCACGAAGCGCTGTACTGGGTGGGGGGGGCGCGTGCGGGCTGCGCCACTGAGACCTTCGGTGGAGCTCCCTATGGGGTCACGAAGCGCTGTGCTAGGTGCGGGAAACGCATGCGGGCTGCGCCACTGGGACCTTCGGTGAAGCGGGCCACGAAACGCTGTGCTGGGTGGGGGAGGCGCATGCGGGCTGCGCCACTGGAACCTTCGGTGGACTTCCCTGTGCGGCCACGAATCGCTGTCCTGGGTGTGGGAAACGCATGCGGGCAGTGCTACTGGGACCTTCCGTGGGGCCCCCTCCATGGGGCCACGAATCGCTGTACTGGGTGGGGGAGACGCATGCGGGCTGCGCCACTGGAACCTTTGGTGGAGCTCCCTGTGCGGCCACGAAACGATGTGCTGGGTGGAGGAAGCGCATGCGGGCTGCGCCCTTGGAACCTTCGGTGGAGCTCCCTGTGCGGCCACGAAACGATGTGCTGGGTAGGGGGGACGCATGCGACTGCGCCCGTGGGACCGTCGGTGGAGCTCCCTATGGGGCAACGAGACGCTGCACGGGATGGGGGAGACGCATTCGGGCTGCGCCACTGGGACCGTCGGTGGAACCCCCTGCGGGGCCCAGAAACGCTGTACTGGGTGGGGGGGGCGCGTGCGGGCTGCGCCACTGGAACATTCGGTGGAGCTCCCTGTGCAGCCACAAAACGCTGTGCTGGGTGTGGGAAACATATGCGGGCTGCGCCGCTGGGATCTTCGGTGGAGCTCCCTGTGCGGCCACGAAACGCTGTGCTGTGTGGGGGAGACGCATGCGGGCTGCGCCAGTGGGACCTTCGGTGGAGCTCCCTATGGAGCCACGAAGCGCTGTGGTGGGTATGGCACACGCATGCGGGCTGCGCCACTGGAATCTTCGGTAGAGCTCCCTCTGGGGCCACGAAACGCTGTGCTGGGTGGGGGAGACGCATGCGGGCTGCGCCACTGAGACCTTCGGTGGAGCTCCCTGTGCGGCCACGAAACGCTGTGGTGGGTGTGGCACACGCATGCGGGCCGCGCCACTGGGACCTTCGGTGAAGCTCCCTGTGCGGCCACGAAACGCTGTGCTGGGTGGGGAGACGCATGCGGGCTGCGCCACTGGAACCTTCAGTGGAGTTCCCTATGGGGCCACGAAGCGCTGCACTGGGTGTGGGGGCGCACGCGGGCTGCGCCCCTGGGACCTTAGTTGGAACTCCCTGTGGGGCCACGGAACGCTGTACTGGGCGTGGAAGACGCATGCGGGCTGCGTCACTGGGACCTTCGGTGGAGCTCCATATCTGGGTGTGGGAACCGCATGCGGGCTGCGCCACGGGGGCCTTCGGTGGAGCTCCCTATTGGGCCACGAATGTGTACTGGGTGTGGGAAACGCATGCGGGCTGCGCCACTGGAACCTTCGGTGGAGCTCCCTGCGCGGCCACGAAACGCTGTACTGGGTGTGGGAGACGCTTGCAGGCTGCGCCCCTGGGACCGTCGGTGGAGCTCCCTATGGGGCCACGAGAAGCTGTGCTGGGTGGGGGAGACGACGCATGCAGGCTGCGCCACTGGAACCTCCGGTGGAGCTCCTGGGCCACGTAAAGCTGTACTGGGTGTGGGAGGCGCGTGCGGGCTGCGCCACTGGGACCTTCGGTGGAGCAAGCTCCCTCTGGGGCCACGAAGCGCTGTGCTGGGTGTGGGAGACATGCGGGCTGCGCCACTAAAACCTTCGGTGGGGTTCCCTCTGGGGCGAAACGTGAGGGGTGTGCCAAAGTGAGGGGGTGACGGGAGGAGGGAGGAGGGGGAGGAGGAGAGGATAGGAGAGGAGGGAGAGGAGGAGAAGGAACGCGGGGCGCTGTCTCTTCAAAACGAGGACCCAACAACAGGTTGGTTGGGACACCAAAGAAAAACGGACAGGGGCGCGAGCGGGAAGGAAACGGGCGAGAAAAAGGCGGGAGAGGAGGGCCAGGAGAGAGAAGGCGCGGAGGGGCAGGCACGGAAGGAGGAGGAGGAAAGGGAGGGGAGACAGTTGGGAAGCAGGGCCAGTGGGATGGAGAGACCAGCGCAAGCGACGCGACGCGGAGGATGCCGCCGAGAAGGGCGGCGCACGCGCGCGACTTTTCCGACTTGCTCAGAACCATGCCAGCGCCTTAGCTCTATCCATTCACCTGGGTGCCGCCATGCAGACGCGCTGGAGCAGCAGATGCACATAAAACTTGGTGCCCTGCTCGGCGGTGAAGCACCAAGCGGCGCTTCGCACGAGGCGAATCGTACGCAATGCTGCCCTTCGCGTTGATGGCTCGCGGAACACGCCTCCCAGCGGACCAGAGCACCAACCACGCGGGGGACGGGGGAGGTGTGGAAGACAACAATGGCAGCCCCAGTTTGGGGGGGGGGTCCGGGCCACTGAGCTCCACTCCGCGCCACCCCGCCAGTGGGGAGGAACGCCTGGTGCTCCCTGCGGCCGCGCCCGCCCACCAGGGGGGGAACTCACACAGGGGTGAGGAGGGGGAGGAGTGAGGTGGGGGCGGGGAACGGGCGAGTGAGGGTGAGGCGTGAGAAATGGCGCTGCGTAGGAGGAGGCGAATGGGGAGGAGAAGGGGAGGATCGGGGAGCAGGAGGAGCTCGAGACTGGTCAGGGGAACCCAGGCGAGCCCGCTGGTGGTCTCGGAGCCTCGCAGGCGAGGGGTTGAGCAAGGGGCGTCCTCAGAGTGGGCCTCACGGGGGCGGCGCGCACGAGGCACGCCTGCGTGCACAACGAGCTACAGCGTGGGAGGGAGGGAGGGAAGCACAGTTGAAGGGAAAAACCGTGCGATGAGAAAGCCCGAACAAGAAAGAGCCCAGCTTCCCCCCTTCACCCCATGGCCTGAACAGGGGCAAGTCTTGCGCTCGAGGTGTTGGGCGCAAGATGATGTTTCCCGCCCCGCTTCTCCGGAAGCGCTTCTTCAGCATGACGGCTGGGGGGTGACCGAGGGTCATGCGAAGCGGTTTCTCAATGCTTGTTGCAAAGTTATTATTTCTCCACAAAGGTAGGGAGGAGGAACGAGGGATAGGGAGGCAGGAGGAGGGAGGAGACGGGATGAAAGAAGATGAAGAGGGTAGGAGAGGGAGAGAGAGAGAGTGAGAGAGAAAAAAAAGGATCAGGAGGAGTAGGAGGAGGAGGCGGAAAGCAGAAGCGGAGGACGAGCGCTGTGCATGCCTGGGCCATCGCTCGAACAACCCTCGACTCTGAGATCACGGCCTCGCGCCTGGGTGCTAATACGCCACGGGCGCCCTGAGCAGAGGGCGCAGTCAGTACGGCCCTGTATGGCCCATCGCCGCCATCATCGCCGCGGCAGGGTAGGCGTTCCCCATCGCCGCCGGCATCGCGCCGAAGCCAGGCAGGGCAGGGAATGCCGGCGCCACCGGCTCTTCTATGGGCTTGCCCATGCCTGTCCGGAGGGTCCAAAACGTCCCAGGTGGAGGCCGTCACCACCAAAATTGAGAAAAAGCTTTCGGACACGAGGTTGATGTGCTCAAGTTGCAGCATTGGGACCATGGGTGTGCTCCTCCTTGTCCTCCTCATTCTCCTCCTACTGCTGCTCCTCCTGCCTCGTCCTGCCCCTCTGGCGTGGCACCTTGGTGAGGGACCGACCTCGGCAGCGACTCTCCGACGACCAGGGCAGATCGCTGTCCCGTGTCGTTCAGAATCCCTCAGCACGTTCCAGAGGCTGTGGGCACCTAAGTTTCACGGATGCGAGGCTTGCGTCATGATGTCCTTCGCATCCCCGATTCGAAGAGACAGGGTGCTGCTCGGTGCCTTGTAGGTGGTGCGCTGTGGCCCCCGTCCAGGAAGCACCAGGCTGGGATGTGTGGGTCCGAGCTTTGCCCGTTGTGTTCCTCGTGAGTCAGAGGAGCCCTGGGCCACCCGCTTTACGGCAGCGACTGTGCTTTGAAGTTCCCTGGGTCCCTAGGGCAAGTGTACCTCGGGAGCGGCCAAGAGGGGCGTGTCCAAGAGG